TTTTTTATAAATAATATTGTATGCAGAGATTGTCCATCTATTTATTTGATTTTTCTGTTCATTTTATTTTTGTTTTTGAAATTGAGAACTTTTGTCTTACTCTGTTAAATTTCATGTTGTTACTTTGAGCCCATTTTTCTAACCTATCAAGATAGTTTTGATTTTATTTTTGTGTTCTGTTAAACATCCCATTTAATTTTGTCATTTGCATATATTTGATATACATTCCTTTGACTTTTTCATTATGATTAAATGTACCTATTTCCACTTCTTCAAGTAAAACTTCTCTATTAATTAGTTTTCAAGTTATAGATATCTGATCCTTGTTCATTTCTTCGTTCTTTGAAAGAGAGTTTTGATTTTATTTTTGTGTTCTGTTAAACAAATCATCTAATTTTATGTCATTTGTATATATTTGATATACATTTCTGTCACTTTTTTATTGTGATTAAATGTTCCTACTTCCTCTTCTTCAAGTAAAATTTTTCTCCTATTTGTTGGATAAAAAGGAAGGGAAGATGATTCTATTCATTTTTGGTCTTTATTTCTCTAACTGGCATGTTGGCTGCTTGGTAGATTAATCAAGAAGAATGTAATATTTTACCTGGTTCATATGACACATTAATGAATTTGGAGGTAGTGAATCCTTAAATCATCACTACCATCCTCATTTTAGCCATTGACTATCCACTGCAGGATGAAGGCCTCTTCTGCATGTTTCCAACCTATAAGATCTTTAGCTTTCTTTTGCTGATTGGGCCTGCAATTCTTGTTGATGTTGTTGATCCATCTTGTTTTAGGTCTCTCTTGTGGATGCTTTTTATCTAGTGGGATCCATTCCATGATGGCCTTGGTCCACCTGCTATCAGTTTTTCTTGCTATGTGATTAGTCCATTTCCATTTTAATTCTTTTACTCTCTTGATGATACTGTACATTTTCGTTTGTTCTCTAATCCATGTGCAGGTCTTGTCTTGTAATGCCAAACATGTATCTTTCTATGGCTCTTTACATTACTCGTAGCTTTTGTATCGATTGTGAGGTTAATGTTCATGTTTCACTGGCATATGTTAGAGCAAGTAGCACATACTGATCGAAAACTTTTCTTTTCGGGGGAGGGAGGTTGTTCTTGAAAATACACTTAGCTTGCCAAATGCCTGCCAACCTCATTTAATAGGCCATTCAATTTCCTTTATTGTATCATCTTCCATTGAGATCCATTGGCCAAGATATATGTATGTTTACTTCTTCAGATATATATTTTTTCTTTCTTTAGTAAATTTATTATTCTAGAATCCTTAAATATGATTAAGGAAGGATATTGTAACTAGAGTGTGTGTTGATAGTTTGTAGTGGGTTATTTTTACTATAATCATAGTTCTATATTTATTTTGTTACTTATGGCCACCCACAGTCAACTTGTAACTCTAGGTAGATAACAGCAAAGGAAAAAACATAGTAAAATATCATATGAAAATAGATCACAAATACAAGTAAAAAAATTGTCTTTGGCTGAAAGATGATAGGAATAGCACTTAGACTTACATATGGCTTCACAGTGCTTTATGGCCCTTTCTAGGTGGCATATTGCCCCCAACAATCTGGATCCTCATTTAACTGACCTTGGAAGGGTGGAAGGATGAGTCAACCTTGACTGGTGCAAATCGAACTGCTGGCAGTCGGCAGAATTTTCCAGACATTCTGCATTCTAATCACTGAGCCACCACATCTCTTATATTGTGTTATACTAATACAGTAACTGAGGTATTTCATAGTGTACAGTACCAAAATGTGCATTTCAAATGAACAGATTAGTAGCTGGGAGTAGAGCATAACAGTTATAGCCAATGTCTTGTTTTCCTCTGAATAGAATAGAATAGAATAGAATAGAATAGAATAGAATAGAATAGAATAGAATAGAATAGAATAGAATTCTTTATTGGCCAAGTGTGATTGGATACACAAGGAATTTGTCTTTGGTGCATATTGACAGAGAAAAAAACATCCAGAAAATTTCCCCAAGTGCATTGGTGAGACAGTTGGGCAGCATCCCTGAATGCGGCTGACCCCTTTATTACCTTGATTCCTGCAGTGTGCAATAAAAATTCAGTACTAAATTGACTGAATGCATTTTCTGGTGATTGGAATTGTTGTTTTCAGATTATACCTAGCAATTAGGGAGAAAGAAAATGCTTACTTCCTGCAGCACTGATATCCTATTTTTCATAAGAAGAAAACTTATGGTAGAGCAGAAGTAGGAACAATTATAACATCAACAATAGTAATAATAAAATTTTAAAAACTTGTTCTTTACATTGATAATTTCAAATTTTTCATGAAGAAGTAATTCAGCTAGTTTTGTGGTGATCTATTGTTAGTGGTTAACAGTTGTATGAAGTTGCATCTGTATGCAATATGGAAGTTCCATATGGAACTTGAGAAAGGAAAACATTGTCCATGATGGGCTATAAATTCTCATAATACATTTGAATTTAATCTGAACTATAGTAATATGTGTGATATTCTGTTATAGTCTAAGACTAAGTGCTATTGTTATTGCTATATCACGCCACAGGCAAACAGAAACAGAAATCAAAGTCTGTGGCAAATCCAGATGTCAACTACTTTTAAATATATTGTGTAAACACTGCCACAGGATCTATAACATCAATCATAACTTCAAGGAAATGTATACTTGTTTCTTCTCTAGTGTTGTATATGCCATTAATTATTGGCAATGCCCATGACACTCTGCATTAGATAAACTTGGCAGTGTCTCTTAGAAGGATAAATCAATAAAAATTATACATCAAAAATAATATTCAAAACCAACAACATTTCAGTCATCTAGGATACTCTTAAAATGACATTGTTGAATAAAAGATAATAAGAAATACTGACTTCACTGTGAGAATGTTGAACTAGAATACAGGTTTAACAATATTTTTTAGGAACGGAGACCTAGTTTTCTTATTACACTGTTACTGAGAAAACAATGGTTATGCCTGGTTATTTTGTTAAACTATTCTGTTTCAGGTCTCCTTTCAATTTTTCCCCCCAATGTACTGTCTTTCACAATTACAGTTTATATTTTGCAACTGATGAAAAACTGACCTGCCAAAGCTTTGCTTATACTTTGTTGTTTTGCTCAAGTCTAATTGAGCTAATGAATACTTATGACCAAGTCCATTTGCAAATACTATTAAAGGTGCGTCTAAATGTCTTGTAAACTGAAGAATTTCAGTTAAGAGAGGAAAAGGCTCAACACATAAATAGCAAAGAAAGTAGAGCTAACTATTTATTTCCAACTTCCCCCAAAATACTGGTTTCTGTTCCATTTAGGAACTGATATTAATTTGGGGGATATAGTTTTTCATGGAGAGGAAAGGGTTTGGAATTAAAAGGTTTTAAATTAAAAAGACCAAGACTGGTGCTGAAGGTCAAATGTGAAACATAGAATGACATCAAATTTCCCACTACGGTTTTTTATTTACTATAATAGCAACTATATGTGAAATGAAATAACAATTCAAACCTTAGGAATCTTATTGTTGCTGGTGTTTTATTATTTTGAGATGATTTAAAAAGATGCTATGTGAAAGATGCTTGAAAATTAGTACAACACTGATTCATTTAGCCCAAATTATTGTATATATTATCTTGAAAGCTTGCTGTATGAATGTTTATTAATATGTGTGCTGCACTGGAGACTATTATAAAATGCCCATAACACCATTATTTCTGTGACAGTATGGATGGATTCTGTGTGGTAACTTTTATTTGTACATAAACTAGTCTGGACAGTTAACTAATAAAACTGCTTCAGGATGTAAGTATGTATGTATGTATGTATGTATGTATGTATGTATGTATGTATTATTTAATAATAGAGGTAAGCCCTTGAAAACTATATCCTATGTCTCATTATTCGCAATGCCTTTTTTATAAATTAAAGAGTTGGACTACTGAACTTCAGTCTACATAGAGGCTTAGATAGAATCTGGAAATGAAAAAAAAAGTTATTTCTGTCATGTATATATCATACTGTGAATGGATTCCTGGCTATAACAATGAATATTAAAATCAAAACATGAAACATGAAGTATTGCAGATGACATGAATTTATCCTATGTTTTCTAAAAATAACTGTGTTGTTACTAGCTTCTATTGCATTCTCTATAGTTCTCTTAATGAAGGTCCTAATAATATATAAAGAGACTCTGAGTGAATAAATAATGTCAAAGTTTGGTGGCTGTTAATAAACAATCAGTTTTGATTTGGGCCTGATCTATCCCCATATAAATCTTACCAAATTCAGCTCCCACTATCACTATGAATTTCTTACCGCATACCACTGTAGAGATGGGCTCTACAGGCTTATCCTTCAACGTAAATTTCCAAAGACTTTTGTAAAAAAAAAAAGTGATAGAAAAATGGAATTTTATTTAAGTTTTCTAGCCTTTGCAAGTATAAAGCCTCGGTGGTGCAGTGGTTACAGTGAGCACTGCAAGCTACTGCTGCAGCCAGTTGCCTGCAATTTGGCAGTTCAAATCTCACCAGGCTCAAGGTTGACTCAGCCTTCCATCCTTCCGAGGTGGGTAAAATGAGGACCCAAATTGTTGGGGGCAATATGCTGACTCTGTAAGCCGCTTAGAGAAGGCTGTAAAGCATTATAAAGCGGTATATAACTTGAAGTGCTATTGCTATTATGATCATATGCACACATAGTGATTTTAAAATATAATTTGATGTTATTCTATTAATTTACCATCACATATATCATATATTTTAATTAATATCAGACTATTTACAAATAAGTATCTAGGTTGCAACTCTAGAAAGACAGTGAATAAAGAAACTCTTTAAGGTAACCCCCTAAATATGCATTCATTTTTATAGATCACAAAGTAGTTTATGAACATAAAAAAAATTAAATGAGTTTGCCTGAATCTTGAAAAGATCTAGTAAATTAACATTTTCTTTTTTCTGTTTTAATTTTCAGTTGGTTGGTGGAGAATTTGATCTAGAGATGAACTTTATAATCCAAGATGCAGAAAGTATAACATGCATGTCAGAACTTTTAGAGCACTGTGATGTAACATGTCAAGCAGAAATTTGGAGTATGTTCACTGCCATCCTTCGTAAAAGTGTCCGGAATTTACAGACCAGTACAGAAGTTGGTTTAATTGAACAAGTGCTATTGAAGATGAGTACTGTGGATGATATGATTGCAGGTATAATTTATATAATAGATTATCATAATCCAGGCATTTTATTAACATTGTATATGAGCTGATTAATTATTAAAAGATATTATCTGAGAATAGTTTGGAATTAAAAAGAGTTCAGACTATTTTGTAATTAATGAAATTACAAAGTATTTTAAAGAAATATGAGTAGATTATGATTATTGCTGATACCACTTTCTCAGACTCCATTTTTAAATGTTTTTTTTAATTCTCTCAAAAATAAAATTTTGAAAGTTTGTATTCAGTTTATTTAGTATATTCAGAAAACATTTGTGAACTTGAACTGGGTGGTAAACAAAGTAAATCAAACTTTAAATTCTGCAGATGTTTAAGAAACAGTATCTTAATGTTTGTCAGGATTTCAGTAAGGATCTGATGATAATTCTTGAATTGAACCCAGGAAATGAACTCTGATATTGCTATGTTAGCCACTAATTTTCTCAGATAACTTTTAGAGATGCCCTTCACAAACAAATTTATTTTATGTGTCATAAAGTTGTTTAAAATAATGAATGAAATTTAAAAAGGAGGATAAATCAGTCTTGGTATAAATCTTTCCATTTATCTGACTGTAAATCCTAAAAGAAGTTTTAGAGCATCTGTTGCATTTTTTTTCATTGCCGTGGGAGATATTTTCATAGTACCAGATGAGAAAGCTTCCTGGAAATTCTTATGCGAACATGAAGTAGTCATTATGTTGTTCTAGATTATTAATATGACCTATTATCACTGAATCTTACTTACTTTGACTTATGGGATAGCTGTAAGTATTGGGATTTGCCTATATAGAGTTAAATCAAAAATATGAATTAAATATCTCAACTTCTGTAAATGAAGAATTGATACTGTGGTGTTTAGAATAAAATGTATTTGATGCCTGAGTCTGTACTCTGCATACTTATTCCAACATTCTCCCCAAAAGATGCTACAATATTACATTGTGTAATTCTGAAGTATGAAGGCCAATAATGTACTGGACTTCTCTCCATTTTTCAATATCATTGCTATATGTAATGCAATAATAAAAATCCATCTTAGAAGCATAAAGTTTATTACTAAGCTTAAGGTTTGTAAAGAACAAGGATCCAAATGGATGACTGGCTTAAAGAATAAAAATTAATTTTAGCCAATTTTAACTTCTTTAATATGAGGAACATAGATAACTGAGTAAATGTGATAATGCTGTTCAAAAGTGAAGACAAGATATATAACTAAGCCCCTTTTAATATGAAAAAGAAAATCCTATGCCATTTTCTGTTCCAACTCTCTAATAATTTTATCATTCAAAGTTATATACAAGGACAAAGTGTATATTTAGATTGTTATTACTAATAAAGCAGTAAACTTTATAGTTCCATGGTCTGAAATTAAAATATTTCCCTCATGTGTTTTAAAGATACAGAATGAGATACCAGGAAATAATCCAGTTGTGAATTTTTTTCAGTGGAGAAGAAATGAATTGTTAAGAAGTCAGATAATGCTCAATATTCACTCAGTTAAATTAAGAAATAACTCCTGGAAAATGTTATGAATTTAAGAATATTATTTGGAGGATGGAGTATTAAGTTTTCAAAAAGTATCCAATGATTGATTAAAATTTCCAACTATTATGTCTTTAATTTTCTTTATATACACCTATTAAAACAATTGTATGTTTGTTTTGGAGAATATCTGGTAGTCTATAAATTTTTTTGCAGTACTAGACATTGATCATCAGTCTGGAGATCTTCAGCTTAGAAAATTTATCAGAGGTAGTTCTTGATTTATGATCAGAATTTCCTTTGCTAAGCAAGGCCATTGTTAAGTGAGTCAACTCAATTTTGCAAACTTTTTTGTTATGGTTAAGCAAATCACTGCAGTGATGTTAAGTGAACCATGCAGTTGTTAAGCAAATGCAGATTCCCCAAGTGACTTTGTTTGCTGGGAAGCTTGCAAATGGCAATCACACAACTCCAGGATGCTGCGGCCTTCATAAATACATGCTAATGGCCAAGTGCCTCATGACCATGGGTATGCTGCTGCAGTCATAAGTGTGATGACTAGTCATAAGGCACTTTTTGAGTTGCTAAATGGCTGGTTGTAAATCAAGGATTATCTATAATTAAAGTTTCAATGTATCTTGCAAATTTACAGTTACTATTTGCATAAAATAGTAGGCCGTAATGTCACAATTGTGAGCTGATTGCCAAAGTTTTGGATTGTGATCATATGATCATAGGGATGGTGTGACAGCGAGCAACTATGACGATTGGTTATATTGCTACTTATTCAGCACAGTTGTAACTTTGTATGGTCACTGAACTAGCCATCATAAATGAATGTATAATTGCAAAAGATAAGATTAAAAAACAATATTCTTACTTCAAGTTAAGGTTAATGGTTGGTAAAAGCTTCTGTATAATTACAAAATAATCTCTGATCATTTCAGAAACCTGTTGAAATAATAAAGATTCTTCCCTGGATCAATATTTCTTGCATTATTGCAAAACTTTGTATAATGTTCAGGTTGTTATGAAAAAAGGGAAAACTCACGATATGAACTTTTTATCCATCCATTCAATTGCACAAGTGGTTTCGGCTTTTGTCATGGCAGATCTAAGAAATCTGTACTTATTGTTATTTGTCTGAATTTTGCAAGACAGTCTTTAATTGCTGGGAAACAGCATTCAGAACTAATATTTTTAATAATCAATCCAGTTTGTACTTTGAAATATTTATATAAAAAAATTAAGGAAGCAATGGAGTAATTTTTTTTTCTTTGAAGATCTTCTCGTTGATATGTTGGGGGTTCTTGCCAGCTACAGCATTACTGTTAAGGAATTGAAGCTTTTGTTCAGCATGCTTCGTGGTGAAAATGGAATCTGGGTAAGCTATGGCTAATGCAAATATAGTTATCACTTGTTTAATTAAGGTGTAACATTAAGTGTAATTAAGCATTTAGCAATTTTTTAATTTTAAGTCAGCTTTTGATGACTTCTTTAAAAAATTTCTAGTTTATTTGGAAAACTACATATATAAACTAATATACAGTATCTCGTTGTAAAGTGAATAAAATGAACATTAACTATAAATATAGATACTAGTAGCATAGTGGTTGTAATATCAATTTATTTATTTGGTGAATGGCAAATACATGGACTTATAGTAGTTCAAATGTTAATATCCAGTCCACCCAGTTATTTAAGGGCAGGGTGGTCTATGTTTAAAAAATCAAACATTGAGCCGGTGTAAGCTCTTGATGGACATTAGGATACAATGTGATGGATATTTTGTTGATGAGCACCACGTCACACTGAAGGGTAGAAACAAGACCCCACTTAAACAATGAGTCCTGACAGACACCATGTTGGGTACGGATCCTGTTCAGAGTTGACCAATGCTGGTGAGGAAGGTCAAAACCTGGCACCTTTTGTGTAGGGTGATCTATGTAACTGCCTGTATCTGGATGTTCAGCAGCCCATTTGGCTGTCCACTGTAAGTTTATGTCAAAGTTGTTGGACAGCTGTTGAGCGGGTATGAGCAGGTTTCCTGAATTTAAGCCTGCCAATTGATAGCTGAGAAAGATCAGCATGCACACGAAGAAGTGAGTTTCTCATAATTTTGTTGTATTCCTTCACTAAGGCCTCCTTGTCTTTATAGGGTTGGTGGTGCTATGTAACTCAAGACGGGGAGCCAGCAAGTAGGAGTAGATTTTATGCAACCGCTTATGATCCTCATTTTATCATTTAGTTTAGCATCGATCTTGCTAGCGTGGCAGCTGTTAAGCCAAATGGTGCATTATTCAGCTGTGCAATAGACTTACCCTAGTATTGAATGTAATGTTGAAATACAACTGGTGAGACCAGATTCATATGGTATATATGAGGGAATTCATTGGTAATTTTAAGCCTATAACTTTCTTCTGAGGGAAATTTGAAAAGAAATTTGTGTGTTCTTTCATTCTTGAAGGTGAAGTGGGATCAAATAAATACAGTAAAATAATTGTACAATTTTGTTTTTGATAGCCTAGACATGCAGTCAAGCTGTTATCAGTCCTTAATCAGATGCCACAGAGGCATGGTCCTGATACTTTTTTCAACTTTCCAGGATGCAGTGCTGCAGTAAGTTTTAAGTAATAATTTATTGATCATAGTAAAACTTAAATCTTCTTCTAATGTATAAATATGCTTCTAGAAGCCACCTAAAATACATGTTTAATTGTTTTATTTATATAGAATTAGTTTGAATACTTTTGGAGCTTTGATATCTGAGAAAGATATTCAGAATGATTTTTCTTGGTAAAACAGTTACTAAGTGTATTTTGCTACATATTTCATCCCCCAGAAACTGTGCATTATCCATGCTAAAGAAAGAAATGAAAACCCCAAGCACAGACAGATTTATTTTCATCCATTTTCCAAATTCTATTATCTTTGTATGAAGTATGCTGGGATGACTTGGATCAATGCACTGAGATTACAAATTACTATTTAACTATTTGGTATTTTTGCAAACATTTTTAGTTTTATAAGATAATAATTAACTTTTTCTCATTTTTTCCCATAGGCAATTGCATTGCCTCCAATTGCCAAGTGGCCTTATCAAAATGGGTTTACGCTTAATACTTGGTTTCGCATGGATCCATTAAATAATATTAATGTAGATAAAGATAAACCATATCTTTATTGGTAAGTATCATTGTGACATTTTAGCATTTAATTAAATTAATTGCTTGCTAATTTTTTTTAGCAGAGAAAACAGGACTTTTCAGATATTGTTATAACCAGATGGAAATAACCAAAGAAAAGAGAAAATCTTTATACTATAGGCTTCTGTATGTTTCCTCAGTATCTTCCAGTCTAACTTGTCTCACAGGTTGTTGTATTAAGAAGAATTGTAGGAAAGAATATTGTGTGTTGATGGAGGAAAGCTTAACATAAACCAAACTATTAAATAAGTAACCTTTTTCCAATGTAACACAGAGGATTCTTATATAATGCAGTGACAAATGGATGCTGTAGGCTTTCCTAATAATCAGTGATACTAAACATAGCAAGAATTACATTTAAGTAAACATAAGATTGTGACTTTGAATAAATATAGTTTGTACTTGATCATTTCTTTCCATATCCAACATTATAAACTATTGGGTTTAGAAATGTATCACATAGGACCAGGTGTTAAATTTGAGTCAATATTATAATAAAAATGTGACAAGTCGACACATTCTACACTTCAGCTTCACTTAGTTTCCAAATAAGCTCTAGTTTTCAGCAAATTAGCAAGCAAGCAAGTTAGTTTCTCTTTCAATAGAAAGACTCAGAGCTTAACATAGCTTCAGAGTTGCAGAGCTTAATATTGAGCCATGCCTAGGCTACTTCTAGTTTCAGTTTCCAAACAGTCCTCAATGGCTAACTTAGTTGCTATGCCTATTACATTGGCTGACCTTGTTACCATGCGCTATTCCAGTTCATGAATATACTCTGACAGATAGTTTGTTGTGTTGATGCATCTGCTGGAACAAGGAGTTTAACGATGACAAAAATATAGGGAATAAGGAAAGATGACAATGACAAAAGGAACATTCTGATATCTTTTGCAATATCAGACATGTACCCCAAAGTGATGGAACCTGGGCATGATTCCATTATTCTGCTTTAGTCAGATGTATTGCATTAGGACTGCAATATCTGGATTGCAAAAATGCAGACAACCCTTAAGTAGAAGCAAATAATTAGAATTTTCTAGATCTCTTTGTTTCTATCTGGTGCATGGATTTTATAGCCCAGATAAGGTAGCCTGCATTGCATGACTGGCACTGTGTCCTTAAATAGATTAGACTTGTGTAAAGACAATGTCCTTTATAGTTTTCACATACCCTGTGGATATGCCACACCAAACTGGGTCAGCTTTGTATGAATTCATTAGGGATTGCTTTCATTGATACTCATTTCTACCACAGTCTTTCTCTCCACCAACTTGATAGGCCAAAAGAAAGCAATGATGCTTCATCTTTCTCCTAATTAAAAAAAAATGTATGGGAAGGATTGGGCAAGACTCTGGGCACATCAAAAAAATAACATTTTTTAAAAGAATATAATTGAGGTTTTTTTTTTTTTACTGCCTAGAAGTCTATAAGTAATTAATTTCTGACATCTGGAAAATTCTCATTATGTATAACTCGAAAAATGCAGGACTTCTCTTTTACCTTGGAAGTATACGATAAACAGTCCCCGTCAAAGTATTCTTTTGTCGTTTAACTTTGAGATATATTCAGCTGACTAAAGGTAGAGAGATCATTCCACAGGTCAGCTATGTATAATTGTTAATTCAATGGTAACTCTGGGGTTATAAAACAAAATGTCTGTAACAGTCTTTATGGAACAATGTTATATAATGTTAATGTCTACTGTTGTTAGTCTTGCTTTTATGTGTCAAGAAATCTTTTACGTACCGAGAGACAGTCTCTCTCGTCTCCCGTGATCATTCCCACATACTATTACACCTGTTAAGGGCATTAAAGTTAATTAATGTAATAACTGCTCTAACAAATCATTATTTCTGAAAGGAGTTATGCTTTATGATACGGAGGGTGATATTCACTATTTTTATATTATATTTGTTAAGAATTTAATTCTAGGGAATCTATGAAAATAGGGGGGCTCAAAGTTCACATTCAGTGGTATGAAATACATATATATATATATATTGACTTTTAGTCTTACATAATCTAGAATACATTTATAATGCTACTGTGAATACAGTTTTTTCACTTTTCTTTAATGAGATATTTATAACCGTGATTTTGAATGCTGGTAGACATTTTGCAAGCTTTTTCCCACTTTCCTCATTATACTTCAATATCTGATAACATCCCTGCAATACAGATACTATCTTTAGTTGCCATTATGCATAGATTTGGTAAAACTTATAATGAATCAACATATTCTGCTGATTCTATTTTTGCAGGAATAAAAGCATTTTGTTTTACTAAAAAGGGTTTTTTTTGTATTTGTTATTGTCCTTAAGCCTATAATATTGACACTCTGAATTTACAGTTTTAGATCAATTACAGGTAGTCCTTCTTAAGACCACAATTGGGACTAGCAACTCCATCGCAAAGTGACACGATGTTAAGCAAAATATCATATACCATGACACATTAATTCATTTCTGCCATGGTTGTTAAGTGAGTCACCTGTCACTGTTAAGCAAATCATGATATGACCTCTTACTGCTGGCTTCTCCATTTACTCTCCTTGATAGTCAGGTGTTAAGCACGCAACTGGTGATTATGGGGCACTAAAGCAGCTATAAATACCTGCCAGTTGCAAAACGGCCAAATCTTGATCATGTAACAATGGGGACACTGCAACAGTTGTAAAGTCTATTGTAACAGTCTGCATGGTCAAGTTTAAATTGCATATTTTTTTTAAAAAAAGCTTTTCAAATATGTAACATATTTTGTTTTCTATTTATTTTTCTTTTTAAAATTTTCTTTTATCTTTGTATACTAACAGAAACAAAATTTAAAAATCATAGTGAAGGTAAGATTTATTTGCAGCTTTTGAAATACTGCAAAAACGTATGTAGTGATTTAAGAAAAGATGCAATAAATTTTTTTTCTCTCTTGGGAATGATATGAATATTAAAAACAGTTTCATTCTATTAATTTAATAATGCATAATGATGCATAACATAACAAAAATTATTTTCTTGGAAACTTCATTTCAAAATATATTTTTTAAATTTTCAGTTTTCGCACCAGCAAAGGGGTTGGCTATTCTGCACATTTTGTTGGTAACTGTTTAATAGTCACATCATTGAAGTCAAAAGGCAAAGGTTTTCAACATTGTGTGAAGTATGATTTTCAGCCTCGTAAGGTAAGCACAAAATGCTTATATTAGTAATTGTAAGAATTTTCAGAGAGTATCAACTGATTTTATAATTATGATTAAAGTTATAGTGGTGAGACAGGCCAAATTTTTAGTTTTAATCTTTGCATTTTGGACAGTTTTGAAGTCGTAATAAATGCATGCAAAAGTCAAGTTGTCAGAACAAATATATGTGGCAAAACAAAATTCATTATATTAAACTAAATTTTTGCACTTTTCTATAAAATATCACTAAATTATTTGTATTTTTACCAAAATTATTAAATTAAATTGTAGAGTTTTTGTAGACATCTGCAACAAACAAAAAACAAATCATAAATGTATGCCTGCCATTCACACCAGAGGTGGTATTCAGCAGGCTCTGACCAGTTCTGAAGAACCAGTAGTGGAAATTTTGAGTAGTTCGGAGAACCGGCAAATACCACCTCTGAGTCGAGATTTTACAGTATCCTTACCCTGCCATGCCCACCAAGCCCTGCCCATCGCACCGGTAGGAAAAAAATTTGAATCCCACCACTGATTCACACTCTAGTTGGTCTCACTATATTTATTCAGAAATTTTAATTACTTCGTGAAAAATGTTACTCATTTGTATATTTCAGATTAGAAGAAAATGAAAATAGTTTTGAAATTTTGTTTCTATGTTTTTGTTTGCATTTTTGAATTTTTATTGAGATTTTAAAGTTTCAATATTTTATACTGATTCATTGTCCTCAAGTCATTCAGTTGTTAGTAATCATGTAGATAGATTTTCACCATGATGATCTGTCCAAAAGCTGATTTTTCAGGTCTTCCAACAGTGCATCTTATCACCATTGTGACTGAATTCATCCCCCTGCTTCTGGTCATCAGTTCTTCGTTTTTCCTCAACTTTTTCTAGTATTAAGTCTTTGCATAATGGATCTTTGCATAATGTGTCTGAAATAAGATATGACTCTGGTTATTTATGCCTCAAGTGATTTATGCTTTTATTTGTTGTTTTGGCTGCCCATGGTGCTTTCATGAGTCTTCAACCAAAGTTGAAAAGAGTCAATATTCTTCCTATCCTATTTCTTCAATCTAACTTTCAGTTCCATAAAGTGTCACAGGGAATACCTGTGCTTACAGGATTCTCATCTTTGCAGATATAGAAACTTTGCAGTATCTAAATTTTTCAAGACCTTCCTGCTCTGGTACTGCGTTGTAGTCTGCAATGTATTTCTTGACTGCCTATTTCTTTACTGCTAATGATTGATCCTAAAATCCACTCTTCAATATCTTCATTGCCAATTCTAAGGATGGATATTCTACCTGTTGCCATTAATTAAATACATTAAATAATTAATATTATCTCTTAATATTTAATTTTAGTCCTATTTTTTCACTGTGTTCCTTAATTTTTATTATTAAAGATTGCAAATTTTTTATATTTTCAGTTATCAGTGTAATTGTTAAAAGTGTTTAAACTGTGATGCTTCATATATTTTGCCTTTCTTTTTAGTGGTACATGATCAGCATTGTGCACATCTACAATCGCTGGAGAAATAGTGAAATTCGTTGTTACGTTAATGGACAGCTAGTATCCTATGGGGACATGGCTTGGCATGTGAATACAAATGATGTATGTGTTCAAAAGATTTTTATGTTTATAAATATATACAGAAAATGTATTTATTTATTTTCTGCTTATTTAAACTTTTGATTTATAAGGCCATCCCAATTCAAAGCTGACTCTGGGAGGCATTACAAAAATGTATCTAGAAAGCCTAACAAATAAAATTAAAAAAAACAAAATAAAAAGGACTTTGCATATCAGAGAAAAGATAGACTATGGCCCAAACAAACCAATATCTATCAAATAGATACACCAGCAACCTATCCAAGAGCCAAGTTTTTAAATATTCATAAATATATATCCTTTCTAGAAACTGCAGACAAAGAAATACAAGAGATTGATTGTCCCAGGAACTTTTTTTAAAAAAAAAATAATACAGCTGGGAACAGATTGGTTAGTGGTCTATCTCTTTTCTATGTTAAATTACACATATTTATTGGAGCCCTGTGATATTTTATTATTTTCTAAACTATCTTAGAGGATTCCTATTTTTTAAAAGCAACAGCACTTGGAAAGGAATATCTTCTTGGGTACCATTTTCCCAGTCCATGCTATTGTTTAAAAACATAGTTTCATTTTGCTCACAAATTGCTCCTATATAACTTGGAGAAAAGGGCTTTGACTGCTTAAAGAAAATAAATCACTGGAAAGACTGAGTCATAAATCTCACAAATAATATCTATAAATATATGTATTGACAGTAGTGAATCAGATTCAAAGTGAAATGTACATCTTTCTGCTAGTTCCCTGACGTGTTTATTCACAGACTTCTTGGTTTTTAATAATGTCACACAATAAGAGGTTGTAGCTTTATAGCAGTTTCAGACTGGATGATGTGCAAGTAGTATATTGCAAAAACTTTCATCTTCTAATATGCCAACAGATTGATCATTTTAATTATGTTAACAAAGAATTTTCTAATATTTTGCCTTCATCTGTGTCACTTTCTTTTTGAATATAGGATGTGGATGGTTGTATTTCTCCTTAATGTTACATATTCATATTGTCATTACCCACAAATTTTAATGAATGTGGATTTAATGTGATGTGCATCTTTTTCTATGCTTTTCTATGTATTTTATTATCTAATTCACTTGTTCTTCTTTTATACAGAGCTATGACAAATGTTTTTTGGGATCATCTGAAACTGCTGATGCAAATAGGGTTTTCTGTGGTCAACTTGGAGCAGTGTATGTATTCACTGAAGCTCTTAATCCAGCACAGATTTTTGCTGTACATCAGTTAGGACCTGGATACAAGGTAATATTTTATTATAATTCTAGTTTAGGAAAAAAACTTGCTGCATTAAATTATAATGAACTCTCTTGATGGTGTTGTTTTGACTCTTTTTATTTAGACTTTAAATTATAATTCTCACTTTATAGAATATGCTTTTAAATATACTGTGTGCATGTGTGTGTCTATTTATATAAATCCATTATACTAAAGCAATTCTAACAAATAGCCATCATAAAGGAAATGAATTGAATATTGATTTTTTAAAAGGTTGCATTGTATTAGACTCTATGATATATTCATTTCCCCCCAAAAATTGTAAATACTTTTAAAAGAAATATTGTTGTAAGATTCACTCTTACATATTGAAATAAGCTCTTATCTACTAACTCTAATATAATCTGTTATGCAATTCTCATGGCAGTATTTACAAATGCTTTATTTGATGTGGCATTGGTTGGAATGCCTTCTCGTTGCCAACAATTAACTTATTTGCATCTGTGAGAGTAACTCTATGTTCTTCTTGGCCTTTCTCTGCTTACAAAAATGCATCAAATTCATATAATAGTTTTCAATTTCTTGGAGATTCTTGTAATATATACTATTAAAATAGTGGGAACTTATAGTATACTAGATTTTCAGTTACATAATTTGTGTTAATATCAGAAATTTAAGTACCTATCGTATTTTTCACTCCATAAGACACACCTCCTTCCCCCAAATTGGGTGGAAATGTTTTTGCATAGGTGCTGGTCCTTTGGTAAATAGCAGGTGGGCCATGGCAGCGGGGTCCTTTTGCAGTGCTGAACCCTGCCTCTTCTGTCTTTGTCTTTGCCTATTTCTTCTGTCTCTTTTCCGCAGTGCAGGAGTCAATAGGATTGCAGGCTCCTCCTGACATTTTTTTTTCTTGTTTTCCTCCTCTAAACCTAGGTGCTTCTTATGGTCAGGTGCATCTTAGGGAGCAAAAAAATATGGCATATTCCTTCATAGTGCATATTATAAATCAGCTAGCTTTTTTGAAACTGTTATCTCAATAAATAAAATATATTTTTAAATTTTTGTTATTCTTTAGTAAGAATGTTTTAGGTCTTTGCAAAGGGCAAAGAGTATGCTTGATTTTATTAATATGCAATGAAGTGGCCATATCTTGATTATTTATTATGGCATTATTGTTTGTCCTTCCATGTTATATAAGAAGTGACTGGCTGCTTTAACATTCTTCTTTTCTTCTGCAGAGTACTTTCAAATTTAAATCTGAAAGTGATATTCACCTTGCTGAACACCATAAGCAAGTTCTGTATGATGGGAAACTTGCAAGTAGTATTGCTTTCACCTACAATGCTAAGGCTACAGATGCTCAACTATGCCTTGAATCTTCACCAAAGGAAAACCCTTCAATTTTTGTACATTCTCCCCATGCGCTTATGCTTCAGGTTTGTATAACAATAGATTTATTATTTACAATTTTTCATTGTTCTATGAATGCCACATAAATCTGTATTTGAAAGCTACTAAAATTTAAATGTATCTTGAACAATAATTTTTACAAATTGTTGATGTATGCAGCCCATACTGTTAAGATTATTATCTTTAGTCTGTAATTTATTTATTATAAACAGTGAATTCATGTTCTTGGTTTTAGTAATGGTAATTTCCTGTATTACTGATGAAATGGCAGCCTTAATTATTTATTACAACTGAAATCAGTTTCGGTTTCTGTTAACTGTTAGAATAGAAACAATCCAGTCTTAATTAACTTGAAGAAATGAATCTAAAGAAGATAAACTTCAGGTGGATTATATTCCCACTGAGTAGCACATATTTGACCTTGAATGAGCCCAATGCTTCTTCTTTTTTTAAATGCAGGATGTGAAAGCGATTGTGACACATTCTATCCACAGTGCAATTCATTCAATAGGAGGAATCCAAGTTCTTTTTCCTCTTTTTGCTCAATTAGACAATAGGCAACTTCATGACAGTCAAGTGGAAACAACTGTCTGGTAGGTATTTGTCAGGAAAACTTATTGTTGGAAATTCTCATAATTTTGTATAATATGTGATAAATATATTGAGTGGTTTTCCCCCCCCTCGCATACCATGTTTTGTCATTTTTTTCATGATATATTAAAGAAAATATAAATGGTAGTATAAATGGTATATGATGGATATTTTAATAAAAATAACTCAAATTCACTTGTTTCAAAAATCACTTGTTTCATATTTGGATTACAAAATTTTTGCTCATAACCACATTTCACAATAGTTTGACGAACCATGGTTTATTCACCCACACATTTTCTGGGTTATAATAAAATTAAGCTGTGATGTATGATCATTATAATATAATGCTGACTACACACTAAGTCTAAATCTAAATCATATTAGACTTTACATAATGTGAGAACCCATTCTGTATCTTTCAGTAAAGTTGGTTTCTTTCAGTGCTATCAAAACTGAAAAATGAAGTGTTTCTCATGGAATTAAAAGTAAAGGAATTAATATTAGACATTTCCAAACCTATTTCCTATAAATGTCAGTGTTTGTTAAAAATAGACTCTGCATCAGGTGACAATATTGGCTAACCTATTAAGGGCTCAAAATCTTAGCAAGATTGAACTTCATTAGTCCTTAAGTCAGGGGTGTCAAACTGGCAGTCCATGGGCTTGATGCTTCACGCACAGGCTACACCCACCCTGGCTCTGCAAAGGCAAAAAATGTCGTGATACATCATACGATGCATTTGAGTTTGGCACCCTTGCTTAAGTAGTAGACCATTCATAAAATAGTAGACCGCTTAGGCTATACTATAAATTAAAGAATGAAATGGCAACTCACTTCCATATCATTGCCAGATAAATTGTGAAGTCACTTGAAATTAAGCTCGAGTTAGATTTTACTTTTTTGCTGCTACTGTAAATGGTTACAAAGTGAAATGTGAATAGTTCATAGAAATTTAACTACATTATTTAATATTTATGAATAAATGCCCATTTTTTAAAGCGCTTACATTGGTCATTTTTATTTTGATTTTTTTCTTAGTAAACTAAATTAACTGCTATTATGTGAATTGCTTGAGTAAACATGATATGCTGAAGCAATGTTTGTGAAGTTTGCTCTTCATAGCTTTAAATGACAATTAACTTAAAAATTCAAAAGCCAGCAAATGAAAACTAGTATTAGTAGAATGAAATCATTGTAATTAATAGCATCTAATTATATTACTTTAACTAAATAAATATTTTACATTGGAATGAGACACTCTAAGTTTAGTAAATAACTCTGACTGCTATTGAAATTTACTTTTTAGTTGTCCTCATTAGATGTACAATAAGATGTTAGGAATACATATTTCAAAATGTTTGGGAAGAATATCACACTGGTTATGAAATAAAGAGTGCTATTAATTAAAGCACCCCATCTTTTTTCAGACTTCTATGCAGAGATCCATAAAAAGTGGTCTGCTTTAATGAAAGATTTTATATAAAGTCCAAAACATATTTTCACAATTATTTTTCAAGTATGCATTTCTTAGGAAAAGTGAACATACATAGTTAGTTGGGCTCTTATAAAATAGAAAATTTCTAGAGTAGATCAAGTTATCACCTGAGCATTCATTCTACATTTGTACCTAAAGTTCTACCCTTGAAAATACCTCTTAATAACAAATGTTGAAGGATGTGCCTGTTTATTTATTTAAAGGATTTAGACAGCTGCCCATCTTGAACTATACTCTGGGAAGCTCAAAATCCCAAAATAAAACCATTACCTATCTACAGTAAAAATAAAAAACAAAAAGACCTGGCATTACAGTTAAATTTTCCTTACAAACAAGAAGTCTCCCCATATCAGTCTCATCCTCATGAATGAAAATTCAGGTCTTAAATGCTTATGGATTGTCTTATGGACAATCTATATACCTCAGGAATGAACCCAGGCATGATGTAATCAGAGGCAACAATGTACTCAATCTAAATGTTTCAGCAAGTTTGTGACAGAGATATTTCTTTACAATCTGGTTGCCAGGCAGTATACTTCCATATCCATTTTGGCTTTGATTGTAAGAAAAGATAGTCGTTACAGTGGAATATTGAACTGTCAGGAATTTTTATTTGCTTTTTAAATGTGGGAATGTTGACCAGTCACAATTCTTTTACAGGGAATGAGCATTGCTGCTATAGTTGGGCTCTTGCTTTGTGATATATGTACATTACTTGTTATTTGGGCAGATATGTGCTAGAGAGATTGTAAAGTGCATCACACACATGGTGCATCACACATACACTCACTCACTCATACACACATGGAAGAAGATTTGTGGGGAAATTGATTTCAAGAGGGAGAAAAGAATGTCCCAGAAACACAATAGCTTTGAAAAGTCTCTGGTTTGGGTTGCTTTACTTTGTATTTCAAATTAGCCTTTTTGATCACTCAGACAGAGTGGACAGGAGCGGTTATTTGGTATAGATATATTGACCTTTTGTTTCTCTGGTTGGAGACTTTACAGCTTTAAAGGTGATTCCATGTAGAAGTTGCTGAAGTTTTGAATTTCAATCTTGTCTTTCTTACATTATTATTTCTTAAATTATTAATAATAATTTTTAGTATTCTTATATATTGTATTTATATACTATTCTTCTTATTTTTCCTGTTAACTATTTTGTTATTGATATAGTATGTAGATGACAGGCTAACAATTTGTAAACAGATTTAGTAGTTGAGTAGTTTAAAATTCTTTTGGCCTGCTTTGTAAGGGATGGGAATTAATATCGTCATATTATATTAATCAACATCCAACTAGGAAGGATGTTAGTCTTTCTTTAAGACACTTTCTTTTTTTAAGACACTTTTTCTTGTGTTTTTTCTTTTCTTTTTTAATACTTCGATGTTTTGAATTTAACTTTCCTTGAATAAACTAAATATTATTTATAAAAATAATTATTTCTCAAGAATGGATTACTATGATACTATGTACAGTATATGAATATTCATTTGAATGGATGATGGAAACTTCAGATAGCATACATTGTCAGGTTATAGATTGGATTTGAATATTTGAATACTCCTTTTCATTTATGAACATGTTCATATTTTAAAGAGCTTAGAACTATTTCACTGAAATTAACTGGATATCTCAAGTAATCTGTGTAATAGGAAATTTATTGTTGCAGAAGTCTGAAATAGTTTGTCAGATCAGATTTTGTCTAATGTTTTCTAGTACTCCCTGTAATTTGAAGATGTCAGTGAAATATATTTATGTTTGGCTGGAAAGCACTGGGATCGAAAATATATATTGAAGCAAATAAGATTTTTCCAAGTTGCTTTCTAATGCCAAAAACAAAACAAAGCAAAGCAAAAACATTTTATGTTTGAATCATAATTTGAATTTTTAATTTTACAAGATAAAATCAAATATTTCCTATATCCATCTGTTTATCGATCTCTCTATCCTTTTACCCACCCATCCATTTACACATTCTGTATCAATAGAGTGAGCATTATATCAAAGTACATGGGAAGAGTTTTAATGGAATCATGACTGAATTAAGGTTGTTGGACTAAATGAAGTTCTGTTTCTATGGCTGAAGCATTTGAGAATTTAAGAGATATGTCATTGCTACATTATCAATATCCAGCTCTATTTCCCGTGCCATTGCTATGAAGGAAAGTGTTGCATTTCTTGCACAATTATCTGGATTATAAAATACTAGGTATTGTCTAAGATTCTAAAAGCAATTTCTGACATGATAAAGGTGCTTTGAGTTATGTTTGGGAGACTGGCGTTTATTCATTTTCACATGGTTCATAATAATAGGATTGATTCAACATTATTACTGAAGGTACTGCTAGCCTTGGCAGAAGAAAGTAGATATATTTTTCAGCTTAAGTTAGTTCAGCAACTGTAAGCATTCTTGGGTAGGTATATCTCAGCTTTCATGAACCATGCTCTGGTAACCTCCTGATTGGATTACTATAATGCATTATATATAAGGCTGCCCTTGAAGATGCCTCTATTTGTTCAGTTCAGAACTTGTCTGCTATAATTCCCAGTAATCTAACTGAATGAACCACAGTACCTCATCTCTTAAAGAAATACATTGATTCCTTTGTTTAAATTTATGACCCTAATTTTAGCTCCTGCTTCTTATCTTTTAGTGCCTTAAATGGCTTGAATTGAAATACACAAAAATACTTCTTTCTTTGTAACTTTATTTATCCATTTAATCAATTTATATAGCCACCCACCTGGTAATCATGACTCTGGATAGTGAACACAAGAACAAAAACCAAAGCAACATAGACAAAGCAAACAACAGTAAGACAATACAACTCAAATGTTATAATCCAATCATATCAGAAAATACTGTAGCTTCATCCAATTTACAGGTCCCATTCCCAGAGGAATATCCAGGTCCTGAATAATTTATAAAATAGTTTTTTGGGGGCAGAGATTTATGTTACACAGGATGACATCTAAGGCACACTTCTCTGGTTATGCCAGAAAGTACTGCTTAATAAATGGGACCAGGAGCACCCCTGAACTTCTGGATTAGTGGGCTGGACAAAACTGCAACCAACCCTGTCCTTGGAGGATTATAAAGCCCTTGAAATGCTTTCTTTGTGGTAATCAACACCTTGAATTGGACCTGGAGACCTACTGGGAACCAATATAGCTCATAGAGCACTGGTGTAACATGTACACCATGTGTGATGGATCCAATGAGATGTACCCATAACAGCCCATGCTATTGCATTTGTGGACTAGTCACAGCTTCTGAGTATTTTTCGAAGTAAGCTTCATGTGGAACATATTGCATTAATCCATATAGGATATTATCAATGCCTGGATAACAGTGAGCAAGATCTCTTGATCCAAAAAAGGCTCAGTTGGTAAACAAGACAGATTTGTGCAAGTCCTCCTGACAATGTCTGTCACCTATTTGTTGAACGGTAGCTTCAAAGTCAGAAAGACCTCCAAATTAGGTTAGCTTTGTCTAGTGCT